ATCAAGTGAACAATGATCAGTTATGGATTTTCTTGCATGCCAAGCGTCGTCTGCACCGTCGCATGAGTGTCATTAATCGGCCCGCGCCCTGTCCCAGACGGTGAACGTGATTCAAAGGGTCACGGAGTCTTCCGTGAACTCATCCCAACCGCCACCGAGGGCTCGTACCGTATATGGTCAGTTCTTGAACGCCGAATGCGAATCTGGCCAGTCCATTATTAATAATATGGACAGCCTCGATTGAGTAACATCTGGACCGAATCTAATATTCGCTGAGTATGCGGTAGTGACGCTGTTGAGTCTCTTGCACCTTGGAGTCACCGTACATCACGTGATCGAGGTTTAAACATCTTGGGCGAAGCCGCATCTTTGTCGACGGGCGATAATCCGCAACTCTGGAGAAATCACTGCACCAGAACTGCCCCTGTCGCAATAGAAGCCACGGTACTGGTGCCCGTTGTGACATTTCTTCATTCTCCAATTCACCATCCAGTCACAGGATGTCCAAGCGTTCGAATCGAGCCGTGACCGACGCGCTTCATCGTCTCAATCCTCGTCGACGTCGCGAACGTGAACAGCTGGAGTTACGTCAGCTCACCTTGCTCATCACCATGCATTACTCGTCTTGTTTCTCAGGAGGGCAATACCGAGGGTTCGAACGTCCCTCTACCTGCTACACTTCCTCCGATAGCAGCGTCATCAGCCGGACCTCCGGCGCTTCCTGCCCCGGCCTCTTCACCCCCTGCGGCAGCTCCTGCGGCACTTCCTGCCGTCGCTGAATCCACGGAGATGGCTACTGCTGCTCCTCCTGCGCCTGTTGGTGGTCCTCCACCACTCACTGAGGATGCGCACGGAGGCATCGGTTGATCACATGATGACCTCGATAATTCCGTACTTGACTGCGATGGCTCGTCACCTAGTGCATCTCAGCGTTGCGCCTCCTCTTCACGGCGATGTCCACGCTCAACGTCGCCTCGAGACCGCGGTTGCTTTCGACGATGTCCTCGCTGCTGTACGGCCTCTTCCTGACGCGCTGTCGGCATTTCCTGACCGAGTTGCCAGCTTGGAGCGTCAGTTTTGGGGCCGCCCAGACCGAGGCTGCTGCCGCTGTACGTTCGGCGGCACCCGAAATCATGGCTCGGGAGAACGCGGAGGCGTTCCTGAAGTCTGCCAACGCTGAAATCGAAGCCCTTCACAAGGACGTCAAGATTCTCCGCGAGTCGAACGCCAAGAATAGCGCCACGCTCGCGAGCGTACAGTCTTCTATGTAGCAGCACTCAGAGGGCCTGAAGCGTCTGCGCTGCGGGGTCCAGGCGCGTGACGCGTTTATCGCCACCTTGAACAAGAAGCTGTCCCGCGAACGTGAAGTGTATAAGTCTTCCATTGGCGCGAACACCGAGCAGACTCGCCAACTTCATCTCCTCTTAATCAAGCTTTCCAAGGGAAAGTATAGCGACAACGACTCGCGCAAGGTCTTCGAGAATCAGTGAATTCGCAGCACTCACCTTCTCCAAGTTAGCCGTACTCTCCGTGCACACGTGAGCTTGGCCGGGATGGATCCAGAGGTACTGCTTCTGGCTGTTGATGGTACGTTGCACGTATTGTTCTGTCCACCGTGGGTGCAGCGACCAAATTACATTCACAATCTCCTGTGACAGGTCTCACCGCGGGTGAACTGGGCTGGACTTAGACCAGGATACGCTGGTTGCCTTGCAAGTCATTCAGTCTGCTGCCGCGTCTTAGCATAACCCCCAAGATATGCCTGCAGCCCTGGCACAGGCTGCTCGCCAAGTGACTCATGGAAAACTCCACAAGAGTCTTTGACCAGGTGGGAAGGCGTCGGACGACGAGGCGTACGATTCCGACGAAGATAAGGCTCCCATCCCGACGGACAAGGTCAGTTCGTCTATGGCAGCTGCTGGTCTCGGTGATGCGCCAACGACCGCCCCTTCAACTCCCAAGTCTGCACGTCGTTCACTGTTCAGCCCGAAGGCTTGGAAGCAAGCGGTTCAAAAGAAACGCTAGAAGACCCGCCTTCGTTCTCCTGGCAAGCCACCTCGGCGTCATTCGAAGACTCGGTCGCAGTCTGTGCCGTCGTCTCCTCGTAGATGGTCGCCACCTCGCAAGCCAGCGGCATCCTCGACTACCGCCGTTGTAGCCCTCGGCGGTGACCAAATTGACGTGGACACGGTGGACGTGGATTTAAGTGGGGTCTCGCCGGCTCACGGTACTACC